TTTACCATTAAATAAACATCGCTAATTATTTATTTATAATTAATAGCCCGTAAGTTAAAGCCTATTTTTAAAGTAAAAACTTAATCATAAATTTATTATTAAATAACCATCTTCAATTATTTATAAATAACTAACAGCTAGTGAGTATAAGTTGTTTTATAACAATTTATTATTATTAAATGAAAATTATTCTAATTATATAAATTATTAGCTGGTGAGTATAAAAAATTCATACTGTAATAATATATTATTAAATAAAATTACACCAACATCTCTATATAAATTAAATTATTAGATCGTGAGTATAAAAATTATTTTATAAATTTAACCAATTAAAATATATTAACTATTAGATAAAACTTCTCTAATTGTTTATATATAAATTTTTAGCATGTGAGTATAAAACAATTTTGTAAATTGAAAACTTTATGATAATCTACTATTAAATAAATATCTCTAATTTGTAAATTAAATTATTAGGTGGTGAGTATTGCTTGACAAAATTTTGCGTACTGCACTAGATGTAATAAGCTCATCGGTTCTATTAATTAATTGGATTTTATTACATCTTTACTCCAAATTTAGAGTTGGCAATGGACCCGACAGAGATCATTAATGTAGAAGTCAATTGAGATTCATTCGAACCTCAATTGACTTTTTTTTCAATAGATAGCAAATTGGGGTGATACAGTCATGGCGCAAAAAATTGCGGCCCTGTGGCTAATTCAACAACGATACTATCCTAATCTTCATCTAAATATTTAATACTTGTATTAATAAAATAGATATCTAAACTTATGTGCCGAAAAACTTTTACTTTATAACAGAAAATTAGTTTAAATAGCAAATTTATGAGTTTTTGCGTTTTCATGTTATGGTATACTGTATACAGTGTTGGGCTCTGGACCAAAAGTCCGCTCTACTGAACTTACAGGTCCAGTGGACCATTTATAAGTCCAGTTCCAGTTCAATTTTACTGGATTTATAAGCGAGCCTAACACTGGACTGTATATAATAGTTAATTATGCATAAAACTTTGAATGCTGTAAAAGTCGTAAAACCGTATTATCATAAATTATTGGGTGTCTAATATCGGTTTAATCACAAACTACATAGTGAAGATCATTAATGAAATTTTTTTTCAGTCATTTTCCGACTTACAAATTAGATCTTTATTTCTTTTGAAATATTTAATATTTTCAAATTCTGTAAATTGTTTATGCTTTATGAAACACATATTCAAAGAGCAACAATGTTACATTTTACATATTATATATAAAAATTATAACAATTAGGATTTTATACTTAGCTTATGGAATATTATGGTCGTCAAATTAAAACCGGTAAATGATCTTCATGTAACCAGTAAATGATCCTCATATAAGTAACTATAAAATCCTAATCATTATAATTTTTTATATATCATATGTAAAATATAACATTGTTGCTCCTTGAATATATGTTTCATAAAGCATAGACAGTTTACAGAATTTGAAAATATTAAATATTTCAAGAGAAATAAAACTTTGAACGATATCGCTTTTTTATAATAATTTAATAGGAAATAGAGATCTAATTGTAAGTCAGAAAATTACTGGAAAAAAATTCATTAATGATCTTCACTATGTAGTTTGCACTATGTTTATGATTAAACCGATATTAGACACCCCAATAAATTATGCTATTTTGCTGTAATTCCATGCAGCAATGTCACATTTTCATAATGTCTATTGTCATATTGTCATATGCCTCGATGACACAATTTCTATTAACCTACATGATTCGATAGTTTCAATTTTATTAACAATATTATGCCAACATTGTTGTACTTTATATAAGCTCTCTTTTTTCCATTGGACATAAATCAATGATCATTACTGGTTCGAAGGATTAGAATGGTCTTTCTTTAAATTTCCCAGAGAATTACTTCAAAGCTAAAGACATTGATTTCATGTTACGTTAATATTTAGGGATAGTGACATAGTTGAATTTGAAATTACAAATATTCATTCACCTGCCTTTATAATCAAGAATCGACATTATTCGGGTTTCTTTGATGAGACAAAATATTCTTTGAATGCTAAAATATTAGTTATTAAAGAATTATGATATAAACATAAAATCCGGTAAAATATACATGGTACTTACGAGGGCCTTATGAATAATATACTGTAATTCGGTAAAAATAAAAATCAGTATATTTATTTAGCAATACATATTTTATCTATCCCTTGAAATCTTGTAAAATTGTTTTAGATATTTTAACATATTGCAAAACTATGTTATAATGTCCCGTTACTAATTACTTATCAGCATTAGATAGATGCTTTCATTAAATGTCGCGGATTATCGTGAAATCAGATCATCGTGAAATTTGGGGGTCTTGATTTGAAAATATAAGCCCTACCAAAATCCACCTATACTCTTTTATTAATAATTCTAACCCTAAACCCTAACTTAACTATAAAAAAAAAGCTTACAAAAAAGACCCCAAAAAAATTTAAAAATCGTATATAAAATAAATCTAAATTTCACGATGATCCAATTTCACGATAATCCGTGACATTAAATATGATTGTTATCGGTATCTCAAAAATTATAAATTACGTGTTTATATTTCATGACTCACTATTCGTAATAGTTTAAATTTTTGTTACATGGCCGTAGAAATTTACTAGAAGTAATTCAAGTTTTAATACTGTATAATAAATAATTTATTAATAAATCGAGACGATGTCAATCAAACGTGTCGTAGTGTGATTATTATTATTATTATTATTTAAAAAAAAAGTTGCACTATATTATAATATTTCATCGTTTAAAATTTCATATTTTATATGACTACCGTTCGATGACAAAGTTAGATATATAAACCCTATGTAAATAATATTCGTACTATGGCACATTTTGACCCAATATTCATTTAAACGTGGCGTGGAAACGTAACAGGCAATCAAATCCCTAAAAGTGACACATGTCAAGTCACATGCATTACAGTTAGCCAATAAAATCGTCTTTAACGTAAGACATTGTAGAGCGTAGAAATTTATTAATATTATGTCCCTTTTCAATCTTTCGTCGCACACTCTCCCAGTCTTTCATTATAGTAAGCATTATAGCATTACGGTATTGCAACATTACAGTTTACAATTCTTACGAAAAATAATACAACATAAACCGTAACCGTGTTAGTTTTGTAAACCAATTCCAATGTTAGTCAAATATGCATGCATATAATGCATACTATTCGCATTTCACTATCGAAATGGAATTCAAGATAAATGCGCAGCTCACAAGTAATCATTAACCACATTAACCAACAAAATTATCACGGCAGATCCTCGATTTTGATTGGCTAACGGCCGAGGATCTTCAAAATTTGGCCCGCATTACACAATTATTTACTAATTTCCGGCCGGAATTAACTTTAATTTTTTCTTTACAAAAATATAAATTAGCCCGCATTATGGCATCACTTAATAGGCGGATTAATAAAATTCCGAGCAATTCCGGCCTAATTTTTTGATCGTCGCTTTTGACCAATCAAAATCGAGTATCTACCGTTATAATTTTGTTGCGGTAGGTTAATCAAGTAATCACGAATGAACTTCGTTTTATTTCCGTAAAACACCATCCCTGGTATTTGCGTTTAGACCTAAAAAACTATTTTTTATAAAATTTAGAATTAAAATCGCATCTGTTTTAATTTATGCTCTAATAAGAACAAAATTTTCCTTATATATCTTAAAAGTTAATACAATACGTAGGCTCAAAAAAATGTTACCAAAGTTAGTAGGTATCGAAAAACGAAAGTAATAAAAATTATCAATAAATATGCACAGATTGCGTGCTTTGAATACAAAATTTTTGATTCGGTAGTTGATGGTACGTGTGTACATACAGTACCTGCCTATCGTATTAATGTTTAACCTTTACATCGGTAATGGACAATAGTAATTTAAAAGTATTATACTTAAAAAAACAAAGCGCCGTCTTGAAAATATCAGAATAAACTCTAATTTTGCTTTAGTGAATATGTAGGTACTACGTACAGTACATCAGCTTTTAACCCGTGGCAATAATTAAAATATATACAGATCATCGCACTGTGCAGGTATTGGAGTAGAAGTTTCTTTTTTTGGTTTGTGTATGCCAGGCTATGCGAGAGGCTGAATAGTAATGGGATCGTCGATCCAAAACTTTATTGGAAATAATATGGTTCCTTGGCTTCGGATCGAATTCCGTTACGTTAGCGTTAAAAAATTAATTTACTGATCTATTATATTTGCAAGAATTTTTAATGTATAGTGCTTTAAAAAAAAGGTAGGTTTCTTTCCTGCTTTAAAACACAATTTAAAAAACGTATGCAAATACTTACTGTCAAAGAAATTTAATTATTTGTACGTGAGATTTTATACATCTTTACATATGTACGTACAAGCACTTGTTTCTTATCATTGTTCATATGAATTTAATTTCGATTGTGAAAAACAATAAAGTGACATCATGTATATTTAGTTTAGCTGTTGTTGTTGATGTAAATTTAAACGCCGAATTACGCAAATTTAGCATAGACTAGGGTGATTTCATTTATGATCATCAGTTTCACTAATAAAAATATGTAACAAAAGATTTAAAGTTTAATATAGCTTAGTACAGTACTACTTTTAACGCGTCGGAGTTCGGAGTTTGAATTTTGTAAATGTATATAAAATTAGTATATAAACTATCATTAAGTGCAAGCTTGTTTTTATTTAAACTGGTTATTTATTGTAATCTCCCCAAAATATTTCTAAATATGAATTTTTACTAAAAATTTTTTTTCCGTAAAAAAAAGATTTTTCTAAAATCTTTTTTTTCATTAAAAAAAGTAGTTTTTTTTTTTTTTTTTTGATAATAAAGATCATTTTACACTCATGCTTAAAGCTTTAATTTATTTTTTAAAATTACTTTACAATCAAATAATTACATTTTATAATTATTTTATAAACAAATTTGCAATGAATCAACAAAATTTTATTATTAGGTCTGGTGGACAGACTGGTGTTGACAGAGCAATATTAGATGCAGCTATAGATTTTAACAAAATCAAAGCTGAAGCAAATGAACCTGAAGTAATTGAAATTACTGGATGGTGTCCACTAGGCAGAAGAGCTGAAGATGGACCAATTCATAAAAAATATCCACTTTTAGAAACAACAACAGATAATTACTCTCAAAGAACAGAGTTAAATATTAAAGATTCAACTGGAACATTAATCATACTTTTAGAAAAAACTGAAGCAGATAATGGAACAAAATACACAATTGAAAAAGCCAATGAATTTAAAAAACCATTAAAAATCATTTATCTTGGTGAAAATTCTCAAGAAAATATTGTTCAAATTCTTAATTGGTTAAAAGAAAACCAAATCAGACATTTAAATATTGGAGGTCCAAGAGAAAGCAATTCACCAGGAATTTATGATAAAACATATTTCTTTATACTTGAATTATTAAATGAGATGAGTGACAATCAAATTCTTTTTTAAACCCAATTTTTATATAATTAATATCAATTTTTTTTACAATATTATTATTTAACAACAAATTTAAAACTGTCATCATTACAGCATATCTTAAAATTTTAGTAAGATTATTTATTATTATTTAAATTAGTCTTTATTCTTGAGATTACTGTATATGTATACATAACTTTTATAAAAACATGTACGTATAATTTATAAAAAATAACGATATCTTAAGCTTACATGTACGCATAGTTATATAAATAATAAAGATATTAAATATAGTTTATCAAAGTTAAATTATAGTCACTTAAGCTATATCATTATAAACATCAAGGTTTTGTCTATTTTATTACTAAGCCGACATATCAAAAGTCTGATCCTGATTCATTGTTAATTGAGTCAACAGTAGCAAACATGTTTGTAGATGTTGCTATAGTCTAGTTAACTCTAGTTAACGTAACATTGTTTGTAAATTAAAGTCAAAAACATTACTATTATAAGAGTAGCGTCCAATTTTTTTTATATATAATATATAGGCGATAAACATTTTAGAGTACTTTTCTCATGACGGAACATCATAATAAAAGAACAAGGGCAATAAAAAGTTTTATCCTTATTTATTATTTTCATAGTAATTTAAAAAGTCATTGAATGCTTTGTTTTCGTTTTTGTTGAATTGTCCATTTAACCTCGTTACAGGAAATTATTCGCGTCAGAATCTCGATAAATTGTCCATTCAACCTCGATATAGGAAAATTACTTGCATGATACTAATCTCAATATGGTAAATAAGTCAGTATTACTATCATCTGAACAAAGGTTCCGATCCATGTGAATTAACATATTCTATATTTAGGTAACTGGACACTAACATGTAGTACATTATTTTCAGGGGTAAATTCGTGCAATATTTATTTTATATTATCGTTATTGTAATTTAAAACATGAATAGAGCCCCGTAATTTATTTTTTTGTCTTGTTTTTTTAACTTAAAGAGCATGCAAATTTGAATTCCAGATGAATGAAAAAATCATGAAAATGTATGGAAAATGCGCAAAATGTGGAAATAATAATACACATGTTGGGTGGTGTCGATCTTGCGATCCTCAAAATTCTGTTCGCACAGGGAATCAAGCAGTTGACGACTTTTTTAAAACCATTCTGCAGTCAACATCTCGATATGAACATATGATTGAATGGATTCCATTTGATAGATTTGAAGACCAAAAAATTATCGGAAAAGGTGGATTTAGTACAGTATATTCAGCTATTTGGTTAGATGGAAAAAGAGAATCAAGAACGAACGAACGTAGTACACCATTAAAAGTTGCTCTTAAAAATTTGTCAAATTCACTAAATATCTCGAATGATTTCCTACAAGAGGTAATACTATATATCTTTTGTTAATATAATACATTTTAACCGTTCTGTTCTATGCTTACAATGCTATATTTCAATTATATTTAGATTAAAATCCATCATAAATATTCAACCCTTAAATTATATGGGTTGACGCAAAATCCGTCGACAGGAGATTATATGATGGTTTTACAATTTGCCGAAGATCAGGATCTTCGAACCTACCTTTCATTAAAATTTAAAGAAATTAAATGGGGTGATAAGTTATTTATACTATGGAAAATAGCTAATGAATTATGTAAAATTCATAAAGGAGGATATACACATCGAGATCTTCACACTGGCAATATTTTATTATATGGTAGTAATTATGGTGGTAGCCTTTATTCTTGTATTTCCGATTTAGGGTTAGCTCGGCCAGCTGGTGAATCAACTAAAGAGAAGGGTGTCTATGGAGTATTACCTTATGTTGCTCCTGAACTTTTGAGCGGACATCCTTATACAGCAGCAGCAGATATTTATAGCTTTGGCATTATTATGTCAGAAGTTTCAAGTGGAAAATCACCTTATGGAAATATTCCACATGATGGAAATCTTGCTGTATATATTTCTAATGGTCTACGTCCTGAATTTGCTGAGGGAACTCCCGAACTATATGTCCAATTAGCAAAAAGATGTATGGATGCTATCCCATCCAAAAGACCAACAGCGGAAGAATGTCGTGAACTATTAAATAAATGGTGTGATTCATTTAATTTCAGATATGAAAATACAAAAGATGAAATAGCTCTAGAAATAAGAAAGAAATTTGAAGCTGCCGATGTAATAATTTCAACCTTACCAGCAATTTTAGAAACACATCCTAAAGCTATATACACTAGTCGACTTCTCAATTTTGAAAATCTTCCGAAACCAGTTAATTCAACAATAAACCAGCCATGTTTCGGTAAATAATTTTATATTATTGTTTTTTAAAGATTAGTTATACTTTTGATTAAATTATTATTCATTCAATTAGATTCGAAACAAATCAATCTTTTTATTCCCGAAGATAATTCCTTTGGTAAGTAATATTGCAATTAATAACCGTAATTATTATTAATAGTAATATAAAACATATTAATATTTGAAACCTAATTTTATCAATTTGTAGATGACGAAGACCAATAACATTATTATTTTATTTTTATCTGTTAGAAAAAAAAGTTTAATGTAATTTATCTATTCGCTTCATGTATTTATATATATATATTGAAAAGCAAAAAAATAATGTATTTATTAAATATTAAACAAAACATGCGTAATGCAAATGCAATGAGCTATAATAAGCTATGTGAAATACAATTTTTTGCACAAATTCTTGGAACAAAATTTAATGTAGATAGTTCTATAGTAAAATATTATAATCTTTTTTTTATACTGTCACTGTTCGTCGTTATATTAGAATAAATTAAAATTTTAAATGAAACTGTATGAAACGCGTGTAATTTCGAAGTTATATATAGTTAATAATGAAACAATTCTCATGTTTTACATAAAGAATCATTTCAACAAAGTTTATTCATCATTAGCAACAAAGGTCGGACATTCTTTATGAATTTAAAGTTCCTTTTTTTACTGATTCTTTATTTTCAACAAAGAGTGTTTTAAGCACTTCGAAGGAAAATTACAGTTAGTTGAGAATCATCAAAATAATTTACCATTTTGATGAATAAAATATGTAAGTGTGGGCCATATTTTTTCATAGTTAAAATTAAAATTGGTATTTGAAAAATAAAGTTTTAGCAGCATCTTGACTACTGGATAATTACACTTATTATATCTGATTTTAAATTACTCGATAAAGGGTTTAAATTACTTTTTTTAGGTGCTAGAAATCATGTTTTTTCAATTTCTGACACCTGTGAGGAAGTTTCACGTGTGTATTTTATAAATTTTAACTTCCAATATACTGTATGAGAATGCTTATTAATCTACAAATGCTTTTATATTTTTATAGCTAACAAAATAAAAATAAAAATAAAAATAAAATAAAATAAAATAAAACTCACGAATAGAGGATTTTTACAAGGGGATCCCAAAATTCCTGGTCAAAATGCGTCGATCCTTTAAAATTTAAAGGATTTTTAGAAACTTTAAGCAAATATTTCTCGATAAATATTTAACTAATTCCAGCAAACCTTTTTTTATTTTAATTCCACAAATATGTATAATTAAAACAAAAAAAATTTTATCGAATTTGGTTGGATAGTCGTAGAGAAAACTTTGTTAAAGTATTTAAAAAAGGTTAAAAATCTTAGAAAAAAAGCAAAAAAACCGTAGTAAAAACATCTTTTTTAAACTTTAAGCGATGATTCCTCAACAGTTATCTAACCAAATTTGATGAATTTTTTTATTTATTTTAATTCTACTTATATATAGAATTAAAATAAAAAAATTTTTATTGAATTTAATCAGGTAGTCACTGAGAAATATTCATTTAAATTTTTAAAAAAAATTTACTACAGCTTTTTTTTTGTAGGTACTAAAACTTCAATTGAAGTTTTCTCAATATTATCTAATCAAATTTGATAAAAATTTTTTTATTTTAATTCTATAGATAGAATATAATTAAAATAAAACAATTTTCATTAAATTTAATTAGATAATCATTGAGAAAACTTTATATAAAGATTTAGTATCTACAAAAAAGAAGCTGCAGTAAATTTTTTTCAAAGCTTCAAAAACTATTTCTTAGTAATTACTTATTAAAATTCAATAAAATTTTTTTTATTTCAATTCTATATATATGTAGAATTAAAATAAAAAAATTTTCATCGAATTTGGTTAGGTTATTGTTGAGAAATTTAGTTTAAAGCTAAAAAAAAATTTAATCTAAGAAAAAAAATAATAATAAATTTGCTTTTAAATTTTAAATGAAGATTTCTAAATGATAACCTGACTAAATTCAGTGAAATTTTTTTATTTTAATCCATATATATATAGAATTGAAATAAAAAAAAAAATTATTGAATTTGAATAGGTAATTACTAAGAAATATTTTTTTTGAAGTTTTAAAAAAAATTTACTATAGCTTCTTTTTGGTAGGTATTAAAACTTTACATGGGGTTTCTCAATGATTATCTAAACAAATTCGATGAAAATTTTTTTATTTTAATTCTATTTTAACTATATAATTAAAATAAAAAAATTTTATCAAATTTGATTAGATAATCATTGAGAAAACATTGATTGAGAATTTAGTACCTACAAAAAAAAAGCTGTAGTAAATTTTTTTAAAAAATTTAGATAAATATTTCTCAGTAACTGCTTGATTAAATCCAATAAAAAAAAAATTATTTTAATTCTACGTGTTTGTAGAATTAAAATAAAAAATAATTCATCAAATTTGGTTAGATAGCTGTTGAAAAATCTTTGCTTAAAGTTAAAAAAAGATGTTTTTATTATGGTTTTTTGCTTTTTTTTTAAGATTTTTAACTTTTTTTAAAACTTTAACTGAAGTTTTCTCCATGACTATCTAACCAAATTTGATAAAAATTTTTTATTTTAACTATACATATTTGTGAAATTAAAATAAAAAAAGTTTTTTGAAATTAGTTAAATATTCATTGAGAAATATTTGCTTAAAGTTTCTAAAAATCCTTTAAATTTTAAAAGGATCTTCTTGGCTGACTATATTTCGATGCATTCTGACCTGATTCCAACTAGGAATTTTGGAGATCCCTCTGTATGAGTTTATAATTAGAGTTTGAATCAGATTTGATCTTCAAATTTAAATCTGATTTTCTTCAGATCCGGATTAAATCCAAATACAAAAGCAAATACTAAATTAGTAATTTATATCTATTTTTGTAATAAATTACATCATAATTAGATTGCTAACACTAAAGGCCATAACCTATAAGACATGATGCGAGAACTAAAATTTATATAGAAAGAAATTGATTTCAAATTATTTTTAGACCTTATATATATTTTTGTTTTTTGTGAAGACTAAATCTTTATATTAATTTTTAGTGAAAACTATAAGTTTATATAGAAAACAAATAATTTATCTTTGGACTTTATGCCCTCACAATAACTATGATATTATTTTTTTACAGAGCTAAAGTTCATACAGCAAGTTTATTAAGTAATTAATAAAGTAAGCACTTGTAGCTTTAAATATATATTGTAGCAGATGGTAAATATAATAGTATTACAAAATAGTCTCTTTTTCCATTTCTTCTTCGGATCTTGATATTGATAAGCCAAATTCTTCCCTTACTGAAGCTAAAACATTAACGCCAGCAAGTTCAAACCCTACAAATAATTGCAAAAAATGTAAAAATTAAAGTAATAATTGCAACAGAGTTAATAAAAATCATACAACTTTCTTCTTTTCACAAGATTCTAATGACAATAATATTGCTTATTGTTTGATATGTAAAAATCTCACTGATACCAATAAAAAGCCCTATCCTTATAGTCATAAAGGAGGTATATCTACAAATATAGCCAATCACTTATGGGAAAGCCATAGTATAACGAAACAAAATTTTCAAATATATTTAGATGCAAATAATAAAGTAAGAAGTGTATTTAATTTTTTTTTTTTTTTTTTTAAACAGTCATGCCTTTATTTAGCAAATCTTATATAACTATTATACATGAATATAACAATTTTTATGAATGTAATTCTATCCAATAAAAGCTACCCAAGTATACTGCCCAAGTCGACTTGTTATAACAACTGTTCACTTCTCTTAGAATCTAAAACTTTCTAAAGATTTTGTACTATAAAGATACTCTCTTGATACTTCACTGACTATTGTATGGCCTATTTATGACTGTTAAACTTTCCTTTCTAATTTTTTCTTCTTCTCAAGGGGCACAAGACAAAAAGGGTAACATTTTCAAAAAGGTTGTATGAAAATGAAAAAAAATGAAAAAACAGAAAAGAAAAAAAAAACAGACACAAATTGCAAAAAAGAAAAAACAGAAAGAAATATAACAATCTATGAAGCACTATTATAACCTGTGCTAAGCATGTATAAAACTTATATAACAAATGCAACATTTGTATATCTCTACTATAAAGCTTCGCCTTAATGTTAAATTTACTTTATAACCTTCTTACTGACTCCAGATAGCTCTGTTGCTTGTCTTAATTTGTATCTCAAGCCAGATGCTGCTATTATCCAAGAACCTATGTCTTAAGCCACCTGCTGCTATAATTAGAGTTTCCAGGCTGAGTCTCTTGAAGTAGCACTATATTCATTCATAAACAAACACATGGTTGTATTCTGCTAATCTATCCAGATTTGGTAAAAATTTTGGTTCAAATGATTGTTAGTTATATTTTATTATAAAAAGTGTATTTAATAATAATATTTAATTATCTTTAGTTATAGTAATAAACTTTCAATTTATATTAGCCAAAAGAAAGCCAAATATTTTTACTACAATGTAATAAAACTTGCCAAGAAGTGTTATCTCGCCTTTTAATTAAATTTATAATAAAATTTGTACAACTACTATATATCCTTCAATATAAGAATTTTGTGAATTTGTTCATAGTTGTAAGTCTGAGTCAAAATATTTATTTTTATGAGTGGTACAAACCCAAAAAGAAAATCATATTTGTAAGTAAACTAAGAAAGTTTAATGATTAGGACGTTAGGGTTAGCATTAAAATTAGTGTTAGAGTTGTAAGCTTTAGTAATAATATGAGTTTTTTATATGTAAAATTTTATTCTTGTTATTTTTTATTAGTCCAACAAGGTTGATTTAAATACTAGTTTCTCTTCTTTGGTTTTTTTTTTGTATTTTTCTTTACTTTGCTCATGTGTCAGGCTGATTTGGGATCATCACATTTTATATTCTCTGATTGGCTAATTTCTCTTTTTGGATTTGTACCACTTATACAAATAAGTACACTCAGCCTGGGTTTCATATTCCATATAACAAAACAGCAAAAAAGTTAATTTATGAAGTATATTTATAGAGCACAAGCAAATTATATGATTTACTTTTCAATATTGCTACTTCAGTTCACTTAACAACCAATCTTTGAACAGCTAGAAACAATTATAGTTATATTGGAGTAATGGCTATTTGGCTTAGTTCAAAATTTAAATTTTATGAGGTTTTACTTGCTTGAAATATTCTAGATCATCTGCATACTAGCCAAATCATTAGTGAGGAGCTGTATAACATTATTTAGCAGTAGAATTTTAATGACAAAATTCTTACTATTACTACATATAATAGAGCAAATATGGTGAAATCTGTTAAGCTTATTAAAATTCCTTGTCATATATTGAAAGACAACCTTGTGTAGCTCATACCCTGTAGCTATCTATATATAAGAGTTTAAAACAAAGTAAAGATATATATAGATGAATTAAAAGCTTGCAACTTTTTTTTAGATCCCCAAAACAGGCACAATTGCTTAGAGAGTCACAATGTGAAAATTATATTACTGAAAATACTGAAAATATTGAATTACAAATAAGCTCTTTGGATGTATTACTTAATACTAAAACCCGATAGAATTCTACTTTTATTATATAGAAGCAACTTCTTAAATTACATAATTTAATTTGTTTAGTTTTAGCATCATTGTTAGCAAAGCCTGATTGTACATTTCAAATAGAAAAAGAAAGTTAGAAAAATTATGCTTGACAATTGAAGAAAAAATATAAATATAAAATTTATTTTATTTATAAAATATTGATTATGATCATATGATCAAATATTGATGTTAGTGTACATTATGATCATAATTTACAAGTCATTATTGGCTAACTGAGTTTTAATTCAAGATTGTGCTTATATAATAATATACAAAAAATAACAAGAAAAAATCTATGATTATCATTATAAGAGTTTATGATACATAATATAGTATTCAGATATGCTATATTCTATATATAAAGGGTGTCATCAATAATGTTAGACAATTGACTATTTAATTAAACTTATTGTTATAGTCTAATTTTCTAATAAGATGCCAACACTAATGTGCTATTTTTAATTTTTTCTTTAGACTAAACAAAGTTAATTTTTTAGTTCTCATAACTATGCCAGATTATTTTTTTTAAAAAATTTATATTATAAGAACAAAAAAATTAACTTTATGCCTTATATATTTACTTTTTATACATAGTGATAGTTAATTTATTTTATTAATTTTTTTTTTTTTATAAATTTAGTTTGATATTATTTTTAATATTAATTTATTAATTCATTTATATATAGATTCATTCAAGAAATGATCAAATTACTCAAACCCTTTGAAGCTATAACTCAATAATTATCAGATGCTATATATCCAATATTAAATATGTTCATCTATATATATATACATTAAAGCAAATGTTTACACCAAGAATTGAAGAGGATGAAACTGTTAATAACTATTTAGATCTAATCTATGAGCCTTTGGTATTAGAGGATAATTTAGAAAATGATGATAACAGTGATTCAAGTTTCACAAGCAATAATGATGATATTTCAATAGCAGAGAATTGACAATATTAGTAGCATGCATGTTACAATTTAGACAATGGATGAAAAATACCCATGGTTATAGTCGTGGTTGAGGTCGAGGTTGAGATCAAGTTTATAATTAAAATGAAAAAGAAATTAATCAAATTGAATATTTACCACTAGTTAATACAGAAAATTCTATTTAAAAAGTTCAAGCTATTATATATCTTTCTCTAAACAGATTATGGAAAATGCCTAATGAAAGTTCTTTATTAGCAATGATATTGAATCCAGAATAAAAAATTTTCTATTTATGAATGAACCTGATTGTGCACAACAACAAATACAAGCTAAGTTCTTTTTAAGAAATTTATATACTCAGTTTAAGCAAGATTTAACTAATAAAAATCTTAAGATGCTGAATTTAACAATAAACTTGATTGATAATAAAGAAATATTTTTGAAAATATGGGCCGATTATAATATACAAATGGAAGATAAAGTTATCTGTTACTTATTTTATCCTGAAGAACCAAAAAATGTTGATTGTTTAGTTTGGTGGCAGAGGTATTAAACAAGTTACCTTATTTTACTACAACTAGCATGTAAATATTTTTCAATTTCCACTATGTCAGTTTCTAGTGAACATTTATTTTCTGATACTGGAAATAATATTTTAGCAAAAAGAACTCAATTAGCATCTGATTTGGTTAATTATATTTTATTTTTAAAGTAAAATACCAAATATTTTTTTATGTTTCTATCTTTGGAAAATAACGAATAGTTCTTTTTTTTTTGTTAAATATTATTTTTTTTTGTTTTTTTTTAATTTTTAATAAAAGTCCAGTAATAGTCTAGAAGGTGACAAATAGTTCTTAGGTTAGAATTAATGAAGAAAGAATGAGACTGTAAAAAAGAATATACTAACAATTTTTTTAAATAAAATACTATTATTAAATAAAACTACTTTAAATTAGATAAAAAAAAAAAGATTATTGTTACTACTATACTATACTACAAAACTAATTTTATAAATAAAAAGTTAACTATAATTGGTTGGGTATTATCATAAGAAAATGCACATGCAAAAATAACCATATTTATACAATAAAAATTAGATTAAAATTCAATGCAGATTTTTACTAATTAAATAAATTTGAATTTAAAAGGTGAATTCTTTCAAACTCTACATATAATACTGTATAGATAAATGATTGAGAAATATAGTTATACTAACTTCAAATCTAAAAATATATATATATATTAGTATTTATTATACAATTAGCAATTAATTAAATATGTATTTAATAAAATTCAAACAACAACTCACACTTTGGATACTTCAACATGGTTTAAAATACCTGTATAAACTTTACAGTATATCATAAAGATTAAAATAGTATATTGTACATATTTTATCTAATCAATTTCATTTTTTGTAACTATGATTATTTGAGTATTTGGATTAGTCTTAGTTCCTAATTCTTGAAGCTTAAATGAGTTTTTAATCTAGTATCAATTCTTTGAAGTTCCTAAGTTTGTATTACTAGGATTGTGAAGTACTGCAATAATAAAGTCATAATTAATTTGTAAAATAAAGATTTTATGATGTCTATTTAAAGTTTTTTCTTTAAGACATTTATTGACCAGGTCATTAAACTTGGTTTGAAATAAAAGAATATTCTTCTTGAGTTGATATTTTATAATAAGAATCTTTGCAAAATGTAATAATAAATATAATTCAATTGCATTAAATAAATTTCATGATTATTAATATGATTACTTTTAAATATAATTCATAATTACTTGATTGTATAAAATTCTATTACTACTTAAGTAATTTTAAAATCCAAAATTAACTTAAGTTGATTCTAAATCTACAAATATCTTATAACCACCTACAACATTTATATATATGAGGGTGAGTCAATAGAAATCAAGCAAATTTTTTATAATAAATTTTTTTTATAACTTTAAACAAGAATAGTTTAACAAAAACTTGACCAAATTTAATAAAAATTTTTTTAAATAATTATTATAAACTTGTAGAATTAATTTAAAAAAATTTTTATTAAATTTGATCAAGTTTTTGTTAAGTTATTCTTGTTTAAAATTTTAAAAAAACTTATTAAAAAAATTTGCTTGGTTTCTATTGACTCAACCCCATATGTAGAATTATGTAAAATTTCAAAAAATTTCAACTTAAATATTAAAGCCAAAAATAGATTTTAAAGCTTAAACTAGAGTTTGGGGAGTGTTTTCTGGCTTGCTAAATATTTTACTTAGTATATCAAACTCTAATTATCTATCTTAGTCATTTTTGAGAAATAGCAAAAGTAAATTAATTTATTTTTATATAGATATAAATAAAATTTATATAATATAAATCAAAAGCTAAAATAATTACTATCTTCATAAGGTAGCTGCACAGACATCATCTCTCAAAAAGTATTTAGGCTTAAGAGTATTTAAAATTATACTATTAGTTTTGGGTATAGAATTTTTATCATTGCATGATAAAAAACCTTATAGACAATTATAATTAAATGTGCTAAAATTAAAATTGTATTAATTTATAATTATATTTGTAAAAGAAAAAAGAAAATATTTTTTTTTTACTTAATTTGATTTTGAATACAAATAATATTGATATCTAAAAAAAATATCTAAATACTTTTATATATTTATAAATATAAAATTTATATTTAAATTTAGACCAATTCTATTTTGACCTGGATTAAAGTGACCATTATGTGAATATATACTCAAGAAATTTCAAAATTGAGTAAATATAAAACAACAACTATCAAACTTTTATTTGAATTCTATATAGAGTTGGGCAAATATACATTACATTGTAAGTTACAATATAAGTTATACTGTAACTTATATCTAACAAATATAAGTTATATATAAGGTAGATATACCTAATTTGGCATGATTAAGTTCTACGATGCATGTTACGTGCCATGTCAGTCAGAATTAGATAATTTTGGTACCATTCGATTTGTCATATCGAGACAAATCAAATGATACCAAAATTACCTAATTTCAATTATTCAATCACAAAATAACACTTTTTAAAAGTTTATCTAAAAACATAGCCTTATTTAAGCACAGTGTTTAATTCAGTGCATTAAAGATTTCTAATGTAATATTTTGTAAACTATTAGTTGAAATCGTATGATTTTGGTAACATTTGATTCGTCTTGATAAGACAAATTAAATGGTACCTAAATCACATGATTCTGATTAACAGTTCATAAGATATCATTAGTGTGCCGAATTAGGCACTATACCAATTAGGCATTTCTATCTTATATGTAGGCTATTTTGGTTAAATGATAATATCTTGTGAACTATTGATCAGAATAATATGATTTGGTACTATACGATAAGATGAATTAAATGATACCAAAATCATATGATTCTAATTGACAGTTTATAAGATATCGTTAGTGCACCGAATTAGGCACTGCACCAAATTAGGCATATCCACCTTATATATATTGAATAGTTATTATTAAAATTTTTAGTAAATTATTATAGATAATTTATAATATTTAACTAATTTAAAAGTATAAAAATTTTAATACTATTTAATAAATATAATTCTATATATAGTAAAACCTCTATAAATGCACTCTCTATAAGTACACATCTTCTTTATCAAGTTCTGGCCCAAATATATACATGCCTCTATAAATGTACTTTCTCTTATTAATCTTTAAGTGCATGTTGTTAAAGCTTGTTCCTAAGTATGTACATTTATAAAGGTTTTACTGTAATACTAATATATAAAAAAAAGTATTTATCATGCTTTTCAAATTATTATGCCAAGTGTTTTGTATATTAGTTTTCACTATTACTGAACAGTTGATTGTTAATTGCAGAAATTACATAATATATATCTTAGATAAATTGTATATACCTGATCAAAAGCAAGAATTTGCAGATACATTATTTTTTATAAATGACTATATACAGTAAGATCTCCCAAAGTACATACTCTATAAGTGTATGCTCTATGTAAATTCTTTTTAAATACATAATATAGCTTAGCCAAATTATAAAATCACTATATATTGTGTTCTTTATAAATACAAACACTTTTAAGTGCACATTTTACTTTTTTTACTATAGTTCTGAGGAGGTGCACTTATAGAGGTCTTACTGTAATTCTAGTAATTTTTAAAATTTATAATTTATTTTACCTTACATTGTAACTTATATAAACTAAAATGTAACTTACATTAAATTTTGATAACTTACACAAAATGCCCAACACTAATTCTATGGATTTATAGAATTTGAAAAAAAAATTTTCACCAAATTTAGTCTAAAAATCTTTACTCAAAGTTAAAAAAAAATCAAAATGCCTATAAAATAGAAGTTGCAACAAATTTTAATTTAACTTTTATCAAAGATATCAAACCAAATTTGATAAAACTTTTTTTGCTTGAATTATATGGATTCTTAAAATTAGAATAAAAAAACTTCATTAGATTTAGTTAGAAGTTTACAAAGATATCTTCACTCAAAGTTAGAAAAAAATCAAAATGCCTATCATAATAGAAGCTGCACTAAATTCTTTTTAAAACTTTGATCGAAAATAACTTAACAACCATTAAACCAAATTCAATAAACTATTTTTTATTTGAAAATTATAGATTTATAGAATTCAATTTAAAATTTTTCATTAAATTAAGTTAGGCAGTTGTCAAGATATCTTTGCTCAAAGTTGGAAAAAAATCAAAGCACCTATCAAAATACCAAATTATTTTAAAAAATTGCACAAAGATATTTTGACATTTATTCAACTAAATCGGTAAAACTTTTGTATTTAAATCTTATAGATATATAGAATTTAAATAAAAAAATTTTTATCGAATTTAGTCAAATGATTTTTAAGATATCTTTGCTCAAATTTATAGAAAAATCAAAATGCTTATCAAAATAGAAGCTATACCAAAATTTTTTATTTGAATTCTATAAATCCAGAAAATTCAAATAAAAAAGGCTGGTTGGTATCCTTTAAACCATCTGAATAAGTGGGCAAATTTGCCTGCTAAAATAATTGGATGAAATAGAATATAAAAAAATTTTTTTTATG